CCAGGAGATTAGAGGTCATCCTTCCAACAGCCCTTCTCCTCCCCACAGCAGGGCTCTTTCAGACATGAGCCTCAGCCCTCTTCCCTGCAAATACCTGCAGGACGCAAGTCTGAGATCCATTACAGCCCCACAGGTCTGGTACACCAGCAGATTCCAATTCTACTTCCATTTCTTTTTTCTGGCTGTAGCCGTAGACACAATTTCCTCTATTCTGAGATGCTGGTGAAAGCACAGTTTCATTTTCTACCATTGCATTTCTACAGGTGGAGACACAGGCTTTCTTACGTGGCCCAGGCTGTCTCTGATCAATTGGAGTGGGAAAAGAGTGCCAGTCACACTACGGGTTTCATTAGAAGGGAACAAGGGGTTCTTCAAATGTCCTGGTGGCGATGGGAAAACAACCCTACACACATTCAGTGAGGTTCCAAACACCACCACCATCAGGCAGACTCTACGGCAAGATATGACTGTTCTCTTGTCTTGCCCTGCCCTTTCCACCAAATGCCCATCAACGGCTCAGAAGGTAACTGAAAGCCACAAGTTCATCAATCCAGCTCTGGCTGGACCACATGTATGTGTCCATTCCTTGCTGGATTACAGAAATACCTTTCCCACTTAATCTTGGATTTTTTCCTGGAATTTTGGATTAATAGCCCCCCAGGGGGCCTGTTTATGTGCAGATACATTTGGGAACAGCTGGAAAGCGCTTAGAGAAAAGCCTTGGTGCTGCTTTCCAGAGCACTGCATCTGTTTTGTTCTTCTCTTCCTGCACATGCCTGATCACTCTTTCCCCCCAGCAGTTGCTTTCTAACGTCTCACACTCTAGCACATGCTCACCTACACTTAGTTGTCAACCTCCCCCCACAATTAATGTCCTCCTCCACACAGTCATCTCCTGCTGAAAGCTGATGTCCTACTGATGGCTCCATTTAAGGCAGGTTCTCTGTCACTCTCCCCTTCCTACATAGCAGTAGACCCTCTCTGCTAAAGAAAATTCAACTAGCTCCTCCTACGCTCCCACTGACCTTTTATGATGCTCAAGGTATTATCTACATTCAAATTTTGAAGTCTAACAAAAAGCAGTCACATCAGGTTAGCACCCAGCTGTGCAGAGACTGACTGGTTCAATAGCTTTGCTCATATCAGAAATCTTCTTTTAAGCAAGAAAAAAAACCCAAGCAAACAGATGACTTGAGATGGTTTCATACCTACGAACATCAAATTTCCAGGTCCCAACCACCCTCTGACATTGCTGAAATGCTCACTCCATGATCTCCTGTAATTGTAGTAGGAAGACGGAAGTGCACAAATTAAAATTGTATGGATTAGTAAAAATCAGCCCCACATAATAAACAACCCAAAATTTTAAAACAGAAACAATTTCTCTCTCTCATACTTTGCAACTCCAATCCAAAAAAATGACATGCCATGAAAATCCTCAACAAAGACTTGCATGTAGCTCACATAATTGAGGAAGTACTAATAATAGCGTGGCTGTTTGCACAGACAACATTTCCACTGTAGGCCTGAATTCTCATCTCAAACACGCAGAAGAAGATATTTGGTTGTGTATTGCTGGCTGTGGACTAAAATCCAAGTACTGGAAACCAACTGAGTGTGCTGCAATACACAGTCGCTGTGCACATCTGTGCCGCGCTGAAAACAAAGCATTTATCAAGCATTGCGGAAGGTGTTCGCAGCATCTGTTCTCGTTTTGAGCATACAGAAGCTCTTGAAATAAGCCTAAATTGTGGTTTAGTAAAAGAATGAAAGCATTTGCGTTAGAGCATCAACCATCAGTCACCACAGAAAATAATGCGTCCTGGCAGATGAGAAGTGTATCTCCAAGCTCCTCTGACACAAGGAAACACAGTCCACAGCCACAGCTTCCCTTCTGGCTCTCCGCGGCGTAACTTCAGGCATGCCCAGGTCCCTAGACCAGTGAGGCCAAACCAGGGTATCTACCTAATGGTGGTTGCTAAAGGCTTCACTCAGGGGTGGCTTTACAGTAGCAGCTAGGTAGCCTCACATTTCTCAAGCTTTATTATATTTTAAAGCTCTAAAGGAGCCATACATAGATTTACACCAAAATATTTACTAAATCTTTTTGCAAATGGTAGTTACTTTGAACATCTTTTTCTTTCACATGATGAGTAGAATAATTTTATGAACTAAAATTCAGAGTACCACACAAGAATCAACAAGGATGATTAGCAATGACCAGTATGTAGCAGAAATTAACCGACATGCAACATACACACACGGCAAGCCCACATTTTCAATATGATGGTGCTTCATTTAAACTCCTCAGTTCAAAATTCACATCAGCAATTAAGTCATAATCCTATGTAATCGACTCACGCAGCATCAGTAGGAGTTCTGTGCAGGGAATAAGCTGTAAGAACAGGCTGTTAGGTCCACATAAAAGGCATTTTTTAATTCTAAGCACCAAAACAACCACACAAACACAGGAGCTTAGAAGTCTATTATTTTTGAGTAGTGGATGTTATGCTGTTGTATCACTACCAGGATCATTCTCAAACCACCAGCTCCCATAAAAACACAAAACAAGGTTCCTTTGTCTTGTTTTTAAAACAAAAGAAAGCCAACCTTGCCCACTATTTTGTAATTCGTTAAGGAAAAAAAAAAATAGGGAAGATGCTTATCCTTGAGTAAAAGACACCATAGAAAGATCATATGCCTGTCACACCACCGAGGAGCTGCCGTGACACAGCCGTTCCACAGCTCGGGACGCTTCCCGGCCCTCGCGTGTGTTGGGGCCGACAATGCTGCCTGTGTTAGGAGCTCTGTGCCCTCACCGACCCCACAGCCGTCGTCTCAGAGGCAACGTGGAGGCCGGATCCTGCCAAGCTGCTCCCATCCAACTCGTTGTCCTCCCTCTTGCAGGCTAGCAGGGAGACTGCAGACAAGGGGCCATAGTTTCTTACCAGCACTACACGAAGCCAGCTCATGGCACATGCCTGATGGTCCCACCAGCTGCTGCCTCCTTTATCCTTCAGGATAACTCACCAGGCAGCCCCAAGCCACATCCCTGTACCCACACACATGCCACACCACGAACAACAGTGGCCAGCACTGACATCTGCCTTAACCTGTGCCAAGAATTCACCACACAGAGCCAAACTGTTCCCTACTAGATGCCATCCTTATTTTTAGAGAACAAAACCACATCAATGGTACTTGGAACAGGCAGCAAGACTAATTATGCACAGAGCAATCATTCCCTCCAAGTAAGGCTTTATTTCACATCTTTATTATTGGCATTAACGAATTACACAAATCCAACACACACTTTTCACACGTTACCCCCCTTACCACCACAAGCAGCCATACTGAAACTTTGGTATTTCAAACAAGTAAATGATTTTCACAGGGACTCGGTTCCAATTCCCCCACCTCTCGCAAGAGATCAAGCAGGTGCTCCCAATATTCAAAACCCCACAAGGTACTGAACAGCACCAGTCAAGAATGCTGGTGAACCCAGAGTCCTGGCTCACTGGTAAGGGTCATGTCACAACCGAGACTGTCAAAAATCGCAGTCTATAGCATTGTCAGACCATGACTCCCAACCTTCGTACAACAGCAAAAGGAGATGGAACTACAGAAACACAGGTACCCAAAACTGAATCCGTAAAACATACAAAGAGGATGAAGCAAAGATTTACAATAACTGTTGGCTGTAATCACAAACTGGTACCGATGTAAGATAAGGAAAAAACAATTAAACAATAGGTGGTGTAATTCTGCTCTGTGACACTCAGGGTGGGCCTGAAACACAAGCCAGGGGAACTGTCAGCACAGGTTACTGAACACCTTGGTCCATACCAACACGTGCTCATGCTTCTGTAGGAGAAACGGTCAAAGCAGAGCAGCCAAGCAAGTATTTCTGGAAGCAAAAGTTCAGCAAGCCCCCAGACATGACAGCTGGCAGCAGTCATGTAGCATACCTATGGAAATGTCAGAGAATCATCAGCCAAGACAAGCATGGGGTGAAAGTCTATGCCAGCCAGCGATGGGTGGATCACCTGGCAAGGGATTACAATTTACATCACCCAAAGGTGTTCTTGGAAGAACATCCTGCATCATGCTCAGGTGTAGAGAGAAGTAAGCTTGAAACACAACCATGCCAATAGAGGCCTCCAGTTGACCCATGGCCGTACACCACCAGGTCCGCTCTGTCCACAGCACAGCAGGGTTTTACTGCCCAGTACCCACACCACTCCTGAAGCCTGGGACCCAGCGGGCGACGCGCATCGCTGGCGTGGGAGAAGTGCAAATAACGCATTACTAATTAACCAGCAGTGACACAACGAGGGCAGGCTACCCTACACAGCAGGGGGGACTGGAACCATCCCCCAGGTAGCTTTCAACGAGGCAAGCACCCGGGGGCACCCTCACGCCCGGCCGTCCCGCGGGCTCCTGCCTCCGGTGTCAGCCGGCAGCCACCCCCTCCCCGAGCTGACCTCCCCAGAAGGGGGCAGCCCCCAGGACCCCGACAGGGGACCGAGCCCCGGTTGGGGACAAAGGCCGGCCGGGAGGCCCCAAGCCGCACACCTGCCCTGGGCCTCCCCGCGGGGCAGGTGCGGCGGGCGGGCTGCGCCCCGGGCAGGCGGGCGACCCCCGCCCCGCGTCTCGTCTCGTCTCACCTCGGCAGGCAGCAGGAGCAGAAGCAGCAGCAGGAGGAGGAGGAGGAGGCAAGGCAGGAGCCGCGGCAGCCGCCTCATGGTGGCGGAGAGCGCTCCCGGCGCGCTGCCGGACCGCTCAACCCGACGCCGCCTCCCCCGGAGCCATGGCCCCGCGCCGCCCGCCCCGGCGCCGCCCTCCCGGCCGCCGCTCCCCCTAGCGCTGCGCACGGGAGGAGCCCGAGGGGAGCCCTGAGTGGGGCTCGGCACGGCACGGCACGGCTCGGCTCCCCCCGCCCCTTACATGGCCGTGCTGCGGCGCGGGGAGGCTGCGGCTGGCGCTTCCCCGCCTCCCTGTCACCCCTCGTCCCCCCCCCCCCGGTGGCCCCGTCCCTCTCTTCGTCTCCTCCGCTGGACGTCCTGGCCCTATAACATCCCCTGCTGCCCCTCAAGGCGTCCCCTCGGCCGGGAGAAGGGGAAGGGCCGAGCGAGGTGAGCTTGCACACCGAGTCTTTAATTACGGGAGCACGGGCTGCCTTGGTTTTCTCAAAGGCTGGGAGCTCACATGTTCGCAATTGGCTCGTCTGCCCCTCAAAACACACGCTCAGCGTTAGGGAAGCGGCTGTTGCCCGGGAGCTCATAGGGAGACTCCCGAGAATAAGGGCATGTGTGTAAGGGGCTGAGAATCAGAGCTAGATAACGAGGCTGCTCATCCCTTCCTATCAGTAAGGCTTGGAGGAAATAGATAATTACTTCATGAAACTACTTAATCATTAGGGCACATTCAAGTAAGAAAATAAGCACTGTACAAAATCCCGTAATAAAATCATCTTTTCTAGACTTTCCATTCTGTGCAAGGCACCTGAGAATTATTTTCCAGTTGAAGGCTCTTCCTGGTAAGCCACATGACGGTCAGAAGTCTCACTGGCTGCAGTGAAGTTAACACTGGGATAACTTCTGCAGATCAAACCCTACAATTTGGAAATTACACCTCTGACTCAAGCTCCTTGTTGTAGCTCCCTGTGCCTGCAGAGAGCCCTGGTGGCTCTAAGATGCCAAACCGCAGCTCCTGCCCGGGCAGGGTTTCACTTGCATCTAAACACAACCAACCACCTTCATGGCGGCACATCAGGGTTATGCTGCACAACTGCACTTGAGCAGTTGTACTTGGCCATCCTCAGTTCCAGCTCACAGCGAGAGCATCATGGTGTTTTTGATTGCGTGCCTTTCCAGTACAACACTCTAACAGCTAATCCAGCCAGCCTTAAAATTCAGTGGGAATCTCTCCACTGATTCAAGCAGCAGTGGCATCGAGAGAGCAAGAAATGGGATTCTGACCTGTTCAAATTTACAAGGATCTTGAAGCTGGAGTTGCCATTCCCAAACTCACATTATTCCCAGACTCTCAAATTCACTCATGTTTCTTTCCTCAGTAGCCCATAGAACCCATCTTAGAAGTAGCACGTACTGTATTTCTTCAGGCATTTAATCCCTTGTTCCAGAAAGCAACCAGCCAGCTGTATCGTCACTACAGGAAGTTAAAACTCTTTCACAAAAGCATGTCTGTCTGGATCCATCATAGCTGAAGGGGCTTTCCATGTACAGGCTATGCAGAATCTATGATAATTACTTTCATATAATACTTGTGGCTGAATCCTCACAACTACTTGTATGTCAATTACCTGAAAAAAGAGGCCTGTGTAGTTCTGGGAGGTAGTCACATCTCTGGAACATCCACAGCAGCAAGAAACTGTATGAATCCTGTGAAATTTACACGTAGCAAAACAGTATTTCTAGGCCTGTAGGACAGAACTGCCTTAATGCAGATCTTTGATTGTAACAATCACTAGCAGCATTGTCATCAGCAGCTTCTTAAATAATGAGATTAAACTGTCATAAAGCATAGGATGCTCATTACTGTTTTAGGGTACAATACCCAGTGACTGTTACCAGACCTCAGAAGACTAGCTCATTTCCAGAGACATTTGTTGTGTGCTAGAAGTATGCAATCAGTGACACAACACCAGCTGCACTGATGTGACCTATCAGGATTCACTGGCATTTGAATAAGCTCATATATACCAAAGATGGCCACAGTAGGAAGTGTCAATAAATATAAGAATGTAATACTTTGTAACATAAAACAGAGGTGCAATTTCCACTCGATTCATTAAAAAATGTTAGCAAACTTCTTTTTGTATGTACACTGATGAAACATCCATCTCCCCTAGATTGTTTAAAATTCTTGGGTGAATATTACAAAATAGGCTATTCTGATTGTATTTTGAGAGGTCAGTGGAGAAACAACAATAAGTGTACCTCATAGTTTCCTTGGATCAATGATTCTTCTCTATAGCATGCTGTCATTGAATGCTAGCCATGCAGACCACAGGAAAGAGCGGGATGACAACAAGCTGTGATTCATGCCAGAATGTGGGACGTAGCATGCTGAAAACAGAAAAAAAATAAATAAAAGCCCAGATTTTTTAAAGAGTTTTCCAGGTGTTAATTGTTAATTGTTCAGCAGCAATAACCATCTCAACACAAATAATATCCAGGAATTAGAGGCTCAAGGTTGCATTTCAGGCCACAGGCTCTTCACAGCTTGTTACTAATCTGCTGGAAATTCCCTGAATGACAGCTGCGGTTGCCTAATTGTTTCTATAGGTAAATGTGTTTATTCTACAGGCTTATGTTAAAGCTATATGCGTGACAGGATTATAAAACAGGGTAGGTGTTGCTCCTGGGCTAAAGCTTCCACCATACTTTCATCTGAAAGTTAATTTGTGCATCTGAGTCATAAAACCTCTTCAAAAGGAAGCATAAGAAAGAAGTGTTTCCACATCCTCATAATCAAGTTTTTGAACAAGAGACCTAAGTTTAAAAGTGGCCTTGGGCTCTTGCTCACAAATCCAGGAGGAATGTGCAGGCATACTACTTTTGGGCGATCTAGTTTGTACAGTAAGGTGTACTATTGATGTTCCAGGCAGAGAGAAAGGGGAGACTGCAAAAATAAACAGTAATCCACAGCAGTCCAATTCAGAGCAGTCATCCTGGCCGATAATATCAGTCTTGCACTGAGACTGGCAATTAAATAGTTTCTAAAAAAATCAGTATGGCTATATTTAACTGCATACCACAGCCAGCCTCGATCACAATAGCATAGTCTCATTAGTTATTCACAGTTTCATTCATCAGCTCAATGCAGTGTCAGCCAAAAGAGGCTTCACATTGTTGAGCATCATCAGGAAGGGTGTTGAGAACAATGCAGAGAACATCATTTTGCCAGTACATAAAATCCAGGTGCACCCACGTCCTGACTGACATGCAGTTCTAGTCTCAGCATCACAAGAAGGACATAATGGACTTTGTAGGGAAAGGCAGTTAAAATGACATAGATGATGGCACAGCTGTCTTACAAAGACTTAAGAAGGTAACATTTTTCAATGGAGCAGAGAAAGCTACCCAAAAATAGGATAAAGAGCTTTTCTTCATTAAATCCCACCTAGAACAAAAACCACATACCAAAACTAGTAAGACATTGGCTTAGAACAGATGCAATATGTGTTTGGTTTTTTTTTTAAACATAACAGGCAGCAAACATAGCAATCTGTAGCCACAGCATGTTTTAAAGGCAAATGGCATAAGCAGTTCCATAAAGAAGGGTGACAAATCTAAGGACATGTCCATAAACAGGAAGAAGGCAGAGGCGAGTCTGCAGCATCCCAAATCAAAGACTGGATGCTAGTCACGGATCTGAGATGGCAGTCAGTTTTCTTTGCTCTTCTTAAGCACAATCTCCTAATGCTGCTGGAGACAGGACACTGGGCTGGATAGGTTTATATGTGGCCTCCCCTGCAGAGCATTCATTCCTTAGTTGCTTAGAGCAGCAAAGTCCAAAACAGGGCCTTGCTGTACAAAAGTGTTGTATAAGCACTCAGCAGAAAAGTGTTAGCATCAGCTTGCCATTTAAATAGGCGAGACAGGACAATGGGTGAGGAAAGTGTACGTTACTATTGTCATTAATAAGAGGAAGCACTCAGTGATACAATTTCAGACTGGGATCCAAAAAGTGGTGTGTGTTCTTGCTTGCCATTGCAAGTTCACAGATTCAGGTAAGACAGGACCTATGTGACTCATGCTGAATGACAAATGGCCTTCTGTCCTGTCCATCATTGCTCAGTGCCCTGAAGCAACGTAAGCCCAAAGTGCTCCTTCTGCTTGACATTGCTCTGACTCTTATTTACACCACTTCCTCAAACCCCAAAAGGGTCCTTCAGGATTCCATGTACCACTGAACTCAGATGCATCTCTTGGGAACAACTAGGAAAGCAGGACTCCAGTCCCTTTTATATTGCAACAGAGGAATAAGGGGAGAATAAACTAAAACGTACATCACCATAATGTACAGTGTTGTCCTGAGAACAAATCCAGTTCTACTGCTTTTAAAATAACCTTGAAAGAAAAGATTGACTAAAAGATTGACTAAAGGTCTTCACAGGAGAAGGTTTTTATATATATGCACACATGTCCACACACAAGTAGTAACAAAACAGAACAAAAATCTGTACTTAATTTAGTTCAGATGTTCTCAAATCAAATGAAAGATCACAGCACACAATTCAGTCTCTCTGTCTGGCCTCAGAGACAAGACAAATGCTGGACATGAAATTAGAAGTTGTCCTTGAAAGCAGAGCAGTGCATGAAAAGGATAGTGCTACACTCATTAAAAGGTTATGGAGGTGAACGTCTTCATGAGTGCTGTGGATCTTCCTGGGGTGTTTAGCTGCATGCAGAAAATGAAGAATTTGCAGCAAATGCTACGCTCAGCAGCAGCTTTGGTTAAAAAAAAAAAAAAGTTGAACACCTATTTAGTACTGCACCTGGGATAGTTCTACTGTTATAATAGATGCTGGAATGTCTCCGAAGTTGGATGTGGATATAACCTGGTTTCTGCTCACATAAGTTCTCCACAGTCTGTAGCTGCCAGAACTATTGGCTGAGGACTGCTATGTAGTATTGTAACTCCTAAGCAGCACATTTCTGCTTTTTCTTATGTTCCTCACAAGGAATAAAAGGTGTACTGAGCTGCTGGCATGACCATCTTTAAGTTGGATGGTGAAATTTGACCAAATAGGACATTGAAAGGCAATGTCACTTTTTGAAAGAGGAAAGTTAACTTCTGTGTCCTGGTTAGGCCAGGTTTGGGGTGGTTTTCTTTGGACTGAGAGAGAGGAGAAAGACAGTTTTAGTTGCTTTTTGTTGCCATGGTGGAGGCTAGAAAAGAGAACAAACTGAATACAAGCTTTTGTCTTCTTTTTTAGACCTGACTTTCAACAAGACTTCAAAGTGCAATAACTGAAAATGACTTTCGGAGGCAGGAAACACCTTCAGTCAATCTATTACACTTATTCAGCGGCCAGTTTCCTGAGTGGGAGGGAAGGTGGGCAGGGAGGATATCTTTTACATAATAATTGAGGGGAAAATATGCATTGAAAACCCACAGAATAGCACACTCCAAAGCATCTGCAGCACCTGAGCTACTCCCAAGACAACAGAACATTTTTGTAAGTGACTCAAGTTCAAACTGGCATCAGTCTTGTAAGCAGGCTGTCTTCTATGCAGCAACAAATAGGCTTAGCTTCAATGGGTGTAGGAAAGAAGTCCTGGCCCTATAACCTGTCTCATGAATGCCATCCCATGTAGTCACTAGACTTCACGCAGGAATAATGTCATGGGTTGCAAAGGACTACTAGCACAGTAAACATACAGAGCTTTACTCAGACAGGAGAGCAATGTTCATGACAGACAATCTCTGTAGGGATTACCAAAGGGCACATCCGTATCTCAGCAGCCCATAAATAAGGGACAGGTCTGAGGTAGCATATAGAGCAAAAAGCACCAGGAACTGACATGAGTCTGGAACATACTGGGAGAATCTGGGAGCCTGTGCAGCTGGTAGAAAGGTTTGCCCTTCTCCCCCACCTTACAAGCTTTTTTTTCCTCATCTCCCTGCTTACTAAAATAAAACACATAGATGTTTTTTAGCATGTAGAACTTGAGCGGAATCACTTTCAATTGTTCTAATTCTCTGAGAAAAACTGTTTCCAAAAAAATTGACACCACACAATATAAAAGGAATGACATCAGAATAATTTCTAAAGCTGTGCTACAAAGCTTCACAATTGCTGAGTCTGCTCTACTGAACAAGTGAAGTCACCTGGCCAATGTGAACTAGCAGGTGTGGATATGACTGGGGACCTCTGTCATAGGACAGTAAAAAAAAAAAAAAAAAAAAAAAGGCAGTGGCTGAATAGTCTATGCTGTCCAGAAGTACCATCTGCCACGATGTCCTACTATGATCCTGCCATCTCTAAAAAATCTGCCTTAAACTTTGCAACACCATGGCTCTGTGACATCACTTGCCGAAATGACTGGTAACTAACAGAACCAAGATTCCCAGATGTAAGGACCGTAATCTCCAGCCATAGATGACTGCTCAGATCCCAAAGTGGCAAATATCAGTATATTAAAGAAGGAACAAGTTAAAGAAATTAAAAAGCAAGTATTGATTTTCTTGACAAAATGATCAAGCCTCCTTTTCCCCTATTTTCAATATTAACTGAGTGGCAGAGGGTTAGCGTTAGGGGTTAGGGTTAGGCTAACCAGACTTTCATGATGTCCAGCTCATCACCCCAAGAAATAAAAATAATGGGGAGTAATTATGCAAGATTGCAGATGTTTTTCAAGGGTGATGCATATCAGCTAGATTGGGGGAGAACTGTTGGTGGATGTCCTAGGTGACTACAGTTTTCAGAATCAACCAACTCTTGCTCCACTGCAGAGATAGCCCCTGAAAGTGATGTGGACACATCCTCTTGTACTCATTTCACATACAGTATTGAAGCATGATTTTTTCCATAGCAATCTATGTTTGATAATACTATAATAAAGCAGGAAAAACAGTAAGTTGAGCAATAAAAATACTGGCTGGACCACAACTATCCTGTTTTACATATAACCCGCACAAATGCCAGCTTTAAGCTGAATATCTCTTGCCTTTTACACAGGTATACAAGAAGTGTCAGAAAGGCAAAAAGCAAGGAAGTTAAGTTAGAGTCCCTGCAGTCTTGGTATTCAGCAAAAGGAGAGACTGAGACCATCCTGAGCCTCTTTTTGGTGGCTACCAGGTGCTATTTACTGGGCTCAAACCAGCGTGATTGAATTGGGATGGTTTCAAGAATTTTGGTAATAAAACCTACCAACCGAGCTTGAAAAGCAATGGCAAGAAGGCTAGGAAGACATCTGCCTGGGAAGAAAACAAAAGCTGACATCAAAAAATTATCAGTTCACATCCCAGCTAGCATGGCTACACTCCCTGGCTCTGAATTTGCATCCCTGCACTTGCAATTCTAATGCCTGGTGATGCACTCTGATCTTTGTTCATTTACTTGTCCTGTCTGACTGGAAATGATGTTTTGGCAATAACCTGCTATTTACAGTGGCACCACAGCCCTAAACATCCTGCAAGACATGCTGAGGCTTATCTGGCCAAATTCTTATACTGACCTTTCAACTCTCACTGAGAATTGAATGCCAAGTTGGCTTATATCCCTTTCAAAGATCCCAGATTCTGATTCTAGATTTTTTGTTTTAGTATCTACTTTCTTAAGGAAAAACTGCTATCTACCACTTCAGCAGTCAGTCCTATGTGCATTCCTTATGCTCCTGGAAAGAAGCTTGCACATTCATTAAACTCTAGCTGAAATAATGAACAACAAAACAAACAATGAAGTACTGCTATTGCTATTCCCCCATATTTTAATAAGATGCGCTTACATATGAACAAAAATGACAGACTAGTACATTGCTTTTTGGATTAATAGTTTCAGTCTGTGATGTTTCCACCTGCGATTCCTTAGTTAAACAATAGGCTGTTCTGAATGGTGCTTCTGTTCTGCAAGAAAACAAGTGCCCAGAGGGCAAGGAAGCCACATCAACAATTACAAATAAATTCCATGGAAGGCACTTAGAAATTGATAGATTAGATTCTGCTTGCTTCAACAAGTACTCACCCACAATAGTCCAAGTTAATTTTATAGCTATTTGACAACTTAAAAAGGTTGGGTGAATAGTCTGCTCTCTTAAAACTCAAAAATTTCATTTTCCTAAAGATCCTGAACTTCCCAAAGTGCATCTGCATAGATATACACTGTTGTAGGAACTTTACAGGATATGAAAGCATGTGATCATCTGATATTTTCATACTTGTCCTCCTTGCTAATTGCTGCAGATCTGCTAGCAAACTCCAAAGTGAGACAGTGCAGAAGGGCAATAGCACTACAGACTATATTTGTGCCAGAAAAGATGCAAGTTTTTTTGATTATTTTTTTCCCCCCCCTGTGAGTGACTGGCTAAGGAGCTGTAACTGTCATCTCTGTTGCTAGTTGAAGACAGCCCAGATTAAGCACATAACTCCTTTTGAGTATAAACAAGTGTCTTGTCTTCAGCAGGGCTTTACAGCAGTACAGATACTCTGTGTCACTGTAAAAACACCCCTTTTTGGCAAGGAATAACTTCACAGTGGCCAGGGAGAAAGGAAACAGGAAGAGAATGGGGTGAAAGCAAAACAGATAGCAGGGGTATGGCAGAAAATTACTGCCTTATTTCTCCACAAGACTCATACCTCCAGGTGATACCAAAGCAAGGAAATGAAATATTTGAAGTGGCTGACAAGGAACATAAATCATACAGCACAGACCTTCAATATTAAAGCTGCAAGTCAAAAGCAGGGACACACTACAAAAAAAAAATAAATTAGTTTTCTTGTTCAAGAAGCATTGCTGCTGCCACACCACAAGCTGCAAAGTGGAGGCAGAGCTATCCATGGCTGAAAGCACTGCAGATGTGGCCATAAATACACCACATGGGCTTCCTGTCAGACTGTGCTGTTATTTTTGACAAACCAGGTATGCTTTTGGCTAGGCCTGGGTTCTCTGCTCTCAGTCACTGGCTTCTTTTCTCTAACACACCCCAAGAGGGACACTTAACACCTGATAAGGGGGAAGCATCATTGCCATGAGAAGACTTCCCATGCCCACCTATCATGGCAGTTTGACCAACCTTACCTGAACCTCAGGCAAGCGGGTGCCTTGCAGGTTCAAAGTGGTGTCCTTTTGAGAGATTCTAATCCCTGCAGCTCAGAAAAGCAGCAGATAATAGAGAATGTGCTTGTGCTTTTTAGTGATTGTCAGAGGGAATGGTAATGGAGCCTTTGCACAATTAATTTCCTTTAACCAGTGTCTTTAAACTAGGGGATAAAGCTGATTATGTTTCTCTTCTGCAAAGTATATTCTTTCTGTACCACAAGTTGAGTTTGCTTCTACTATTAAAATCTGGTTTGGTGAGACAAATAAATACAATCCAATTTTTTTTTTTCCCTAACAGTTGGTCTCCTGACTCAAGGAAGCATGTATCTCCAAGAGTTAGCAATTCTTTTATCTAAAGGTAACAGAACAGTAAAGAGTAAAGTTAAAACCATAAATATTTTTTATCTCAGTATTTATCTCTGGTTAATTAACAGAACTATGTGCTGATCTCCTTCTGAAGAAGTCCTCGGGTTTTGGCCCGAGACATGATAATTAATCCTTATTGTCATCTACGTGTTCTTTACAAGCTTAGATTTTCTGAACAAGTTCATTTAGTTAAAATAGCTCAGCTATATTTTTCTCCAAGTAGATTATCTAGCATCCTATCTTAATCCGTTTAATTTTGTGTGGTAATTACTGCCTTTCTTGTGTGTTTTATTGAAGTTTGGGATGCTGTATACAAAAACGGGCTGAGGTAGAGGTTAAGGCATACATAGACATAAGTAGTAGCTATAGGACAGAAGAGATAATGAACCTATTTACCATTTAATGGTGGTGCTATTCCCTTCTAGAGGGTAGTTGCCAAGTACATTCTCTCATTTCTCTCCCCTGGACACAAAGGACTGCTGTACTTGGCCTACTGCATCTATAATGCACATTATCCACAAATGTGGGCCATATTCCTTCCTGGTGTCCCACGAACAACAGGAACTGCCACATTTAGCAGTGAAAGCTTTACTGCCTCATCTAGGTTCTGGCAGAATAAGCTGGAAGACAGCTGTTAGCCAACTGAGAAATGTTTTCTCAGGATGCCCTGCCAGTCCCCCATTCCCTCCCTAGATGACATTGGGTAGAAGCATCATGCTTTCAAAAAAGACACCTATTGACTAATAAAGCTACTAAGGAAGTAGAAGCCGCCTAAATACAAAGTCTGATCTCACACAACTATATTCAACTATAAATAATTCCAGTCATCTCAATTCTTCTGAATTCATTTCATTTCAAATGAGTTCAAGATCAGCACCACCTTTAACAGTTTGACTGCCAGCCTCATCATGAGAATGGCTTTTTCATCTTCCAGAAGTACCTACACCTGCATCACAGGCAGGAAAGACTCCCAGTTCTTCTTTAAAAAGAAGTGTGACTGGGTCCCTCCTGATCGCAGGAATAAGTCTAAAAACATGATCCCTAAAGGGTCACCATCCAAAATACATTGTTGGGGACAGGGGGAGACATACTTTTTAAGTTCATTTCATTGTCTCTGAACATCTGGCACAACCAGAATGAGCACTTGGCTTTAAGGAGCTTTTGACACTTTAGAGGTCACAGACTTTCATTCAGTCCTTTGTCAACTTTAGTTCAGGTGCACAAATGGACATCCAAGCTGCACAAGGCAAAGGAGTACCGTGAACTCCTAAACTTCTGCCACTGCTAAAGCCATTCCACATTTGAATCTGACCCCAAGGCCTGGCTAGACAGTGCTGTTTGGACAAGGAAAGTCTGCCCAGGTGCTTTTAATTATTAAGAAAGTAGTTTCCCAGAAATAGCTTGCTAGCTGGCTGTTTGCCAGATCTATTTCTTCCGACAGGAAAAGCTAAATGTAAACCTCCAGCACTTCATAACAGGCCACAGAAGTCTCCCTCCAACTGGAACAGGACTCTGGAAAGACTGTGCCATCCTCTCTTCTCCTTTGCAAATCTCTGGGCCAACTCATAAACAAAATTATCCCACTTACTTTACCAGACCTCTATGGAGAGATTCTAAGAGCTACCTCACACCGCCAGAAACGGCACAGTGCTGAAGAATCTCCTAAGTCTTGATACAGGCATAGGCATTACAGGCTTGTGAAAACAGAGCAAAAAGAGAGCTACTCTTATACAAGTGCTTATAAAGCCCTTGCATACTGCTGAAAGAGACTAGTCCCACCCTGTTGCCTGAATGTAGTCTCAAGGCAAAATTGGGCCCACCTGAAACGGATTGAGAAGGAAGGTTGGTAGATATATTTGCCTGTTCTCTTTTCTCTTCTTTTTCAGCATTTGTTTATTTTCACAATGTTTTGTTATGGACTGTGTCAGATTTGCCCAAACTTCAGAAGAACGGGTTTTTATTTATGTATAAGGTACCTTATGTATTGCATGTATTATAACTTTTACTGACCTCCAAAGGCAACTCTTCAGAAAGTATTTCACCTTTCCCTTCCTTGATCTGTACCTGGGAATCTCTTACAGGAGGCAGACAGAACCTGAGGTACAAATCCAAGAGGGAAAAAAAATGCTCCCCAGTAACGGTAAGCATGACATAGCAAGGCAAGGAATTGTGTTTCCTAGGTTCTGCCCACCTGTATACACACCACTCTGGCAGGAAGAAAATGAGACAAAGAATGTTACAGTGAATAAAAAGGTCACTTTTCACAGTAACTGCCAGGCAGCTCATGGCTCCAACTCTCCGTTTGCAGCCTTGTTCCCTGCTGGCATGGCATCTGTGCTCAGTCTTCAGCACTGAAAGCTCCCTATTTGTGGAACCTCTAGCCAGACCACATGACAGGAGATACATTCTTATTAGTGCTTTCATTTCTAGTTTGGCAATATTTGGAAGACATCCCGAAGACATGTTAAAGGAGTGTAGGTTGGAATAAATTGATGTTACTCAGATATTACTAGTTTATTCTTAATTCTAATGATGCCTAGGGATTACCAGGAGCAAAGTTTCCTAGTTGGTAGGTACCATGCAAATATGTAGGATAATATTTGCATTAAAGTGGTTATGGATAAAATAGGAGGCACAGAGAAGGGAAGGTTTTTACAGATGGCACAGAAAGCAATTAAGTAGTTTGCCCAAGGTTGCAGAGAAAGATTGTGTGAAAGCCAGAAACTGAGACTCTGTCTGCTGAGTCATAAAACATGAGTTTATTCATTTGAATTTTTTCCCTTTGCATAAATGCCAAGGAGCTCTGCTGTGATACAATATACCTAAGTTGCTTAAATGTAGCTGAACACAGTGTATAGAGCGTGGTCTCATTAGCTTGAAGAAATAAAAACCTTTGTCATGCAGAGGGTGGAAAAGACACTACTTATTTGCAAGAAAAGCAGTGGCCTAGTCTTCTGGGTCACTGCTGGGCAGTGTCACCCTTGTGCTTAGTGCCAACAGGGAGATGACTCACTAGTGTTGACACTGTGGTGCTGCTGTTAGTCTCTTGCACATCTGACTTCCTTGCTTTCGGCAATTTTTACAACTGTACCTATCCACCACAGTACTTCAGCTCATTCAAAGTTTCCATAGGCAAACTCAAAGGTCTGGAGGAAGCTACGTGAAAATATTGCCTGTCTGCTACAGATACAGGTAGATGCCAAGGGAGGCTTGCAGCTCAGTTGGTGAAGCCCTTGCAATTTACAGCAAAAAAGAGGAGGGAAGAGGGTATCATGAGGGAATTGCATAGCAGAGCACTGCAAATTGAATCGGGAACTGGGCTTTTCCTCCTCTGGAGACTGGTTGTGAAAAAATAAAGGATCATCTTGCTTCCTCTTCACAGGAGGTCAGGCAAGGCAGAGAGCCGGCATCAGCCTCAGCCAGCTGAAATCAGCAAGCATAAGCAAGAAATCCAGTGTCCAAAAGTAACCTTTAAAAAATTAAGACCATTACATGGCACCGAAATAATGCAAAGCAGAGCTTCCCCAGAGCACTGTGGAAACATCAGCACTGTCCTATTACGCAATCCTCCATGGCTGCCTACAGAGCAAGCAAACATCTAATTCAGTCACTAAAGAGATCTGATGTTTTTGGCAGGGGATCTGCAAATTGAAGAGGTGGTATGACACGGGATGGTGTAGAAGGAAACAAAGGCAAGGCAGAGGGTCCCACTGTGTAGGACAAAACCTCCAGTTGGCAGGTGACTCCCTGTTTGCCCCGTCTGCTGGCCTCTGATCCGATAGAGTACTCACAGATATTTAACTTGAAGCATTTGAGCAGTCCCTTGAAGGCAGTATGGATGCATGGCTTGTAGTGTAACACACAAGTCATGTGCTGTACTTCAGTTCTATCTTGAAGTACTTCCCAAAAAAAGCAAGATTCAGCCTCCCTGGCATGGCCTAGCCAAGACTTTTGCCATAAATTTTTCACTGGTCCACATCTGCTCTGATAGAGAGAGAGCAGCAAGGTGGACTCTTCAGCAAAGCAGACATTGAACCTGAAAACTGAAGATCTGGGTCCAAAAAGAATAATTTTTAGAAGACCTAAATGTATCATCAGCTCAGACAGCATTGATTTTATACTTTCTGTGAAGAGAATGGATACCTTAGAAATCCGTATGTAAGTTTCTAGAAAAGTTATTTGACTTTCAAATTAGCATGTACTCCCAACTCCAGTGGGATTTGCATATGTCCAGAGCTTATTAAAAATTAAGATAGTCATCTGTAGGAGGCTAAACCTAAAGACTTATGAACATAACTTTAGACATTCACATTTGGAAAATGTTGATCTTCCTCTAAATATCATTTTATTAACTGATTTTTCTCATTATATAAATGTTGTATCTGTAGTGCTTTCTAACTGCACTGATAGGTTGGGTGTGCAGATAAAGACTATGTTTAAAAAAAAAACAAAACAGAAAAAAATATTTCAAATTTTCATCTGTTTGGGTGTTTCCTGCGATTTGCCTTTTCATAAAATGTTCTCCTTTGCCTAGAGAAAAATTTGAATGCTTTTAGTTTCTGAATGTTGTCCAATGAAAATTTCTGAAGGTTACTTTTTTCCATCTGAGAACAGAAACATGTCCGTTCCATGCTCTGCTGCCCACAGCTGCTAAAAGATATGTAAAAAATCACAAAAAGCCCAACCCAAAACATTAGTTATTAAACTTCCCCCTTCCTCTTATTTTGCAATAACAGTACAGAAGCATGCACAGTTAACTTTTCATCATGAAAACTATTCTCATCTAAGTTGCTAATACACCCATAGAACTGATAAGCTAAGGATATTTCCTGATTATTTTTTTTTAATTTCCACTTAGTATATATTTCCATGCCAAGCAGAACTGCGTTCTCTACCCACTCTGAAATTCATACCCAAAGATTCATTGCCTGTAGAAAGGCAGACCTTAGGAGGCTTTTTTTCTTGTCTATTTTTTCCTATCTAATGCTTTGCTGGTTATGGAAAGTTATTCAAGACTGATCTGTCAGAGTGCTTTGAAAGAACTTTTATTAGTAACAAACAAGGCTAATAGGCCAAGGCAGCACATAAACAAGAGGTTTTTTCTTTTAACATCAAGATCTCTAAACAAAGGGACCTATTGATCTTCTAAAACTATAATACAGAGTACTCAGCTCTCTATATTTGGGGTACAGAAACTGCTCTAGCTTCCAGCCAGAAAAATGATGCCAGGCTGCCTTTATGCAGCACTCAGAAAAAGGTTGGAACTCTTAGGAAAACTGGAAATTCCATGGCTATTCTTAATACTCTTATTAATATTATCATTATTCTCTTACTATTAATAATACTCCATTAAGAATATTCTGTATTGTCTTCCTCTGTATGTTTTTTACCGAAGTAGTGTTATTCAGCCCCTGACTAAATAAGCACACTCTGGTAGCAGCAGGAAAGGAGTTTTGAGCAGCTGCGCACAGACACCTACACCAGTTGTCACAGGACCCCAGTGGGACCTCAGTGGGTGGGAGCTCTAGTTTTGCCCAGCAGGCATCTGTGCTGCTCTTCAGATTCACAAGTATTGCTAGTGAGGGCCTTGTTTAAGTAAACTGGCCACCAGCTGATCCTTGCATTTAAACATCAAGCCAGCTAGAAGTTTGGTTGGACTGGCTGCACTGGAACCTAACGAGACAGAGTGACAGCTCTGCTACCATGGTACATACTTGTGTTATGCTGAAGAGAGACCTAAAGGATCATATAAAATCTCCTGGTAGCCTACCAACCTGTCAATGACAATGGCCAGCAGCAGAAGCCTAGGAAATAAGAGAGAAGAGCAACATGCTAATCATGTATTGATACTTTCCAGGTGTCTCTGCAGCAGGTTTTATCCAGCATCCAACAATCTGCAGCTCAGTACTCTGGGGTGTAAAGATATAGGAATTGGAAGTGCATCTATGTGGTTAGAACCTGACATTGATGCTTTTTGTGGGACAGAACAAAACTCACCAAGAATCAAAATAGAGATGTCTCTCTCTTCAAAAGTTAGCTCAGACTTGGAAATACCAGAAATGTTTGATGAAATCCTGGAAAATTTTATGGAAAAATAAATTACAAAGCAAGAGAGAGGGAGTTTCCTAGCCTGCCCTGGTCTCTTATTCCCTTGTCTGTATCCAACCCACTTGAAACTCTTGAGTCTTGGGTTAAATTGGTATCGGTGATACAGTAACCTGCAAGCTAGATGTGGTTATGCCAGTTGGTCATCCTGTCTTAGCTAAAAACACTTTCAGAGGAGCAAGAAGAAGGACTAGAAAGACCTTTGTAACGAGCAGAAGTATATCAGTGCTTTTATGGCCTGGTGACTGGAAGCCCTACACATGTTTCATTTGATAAGGCAATCACAAGGCTTTCATTCTCATATGAATAAGAACATTTAATCTTCACAGCATTAAGTCCCATGTGCTAAATTAAATTTCCTGCCAGCTCAGCAAACCATTTTGATACTTTGAACTGCATTGTACATGCTTTCCTTTCATCACAGGATGCATTTTGTCTCAGTGTCAACAGCCAAGAGGAGAAACTCCACTTAGGTCAGAGAGCTCCTTTTGCTTAAGCACAAATATCAATATACTGCAGGCAGTGAGCTGCGGTGTTTGGAACAGCCGTTGAACAGCAGGCAGTTGAGGTGGGTTTCAGATGACCAAGCAGAGCTACCTGCAGTGGGGGTGACTACATCTGAGCTAGTCACTCCAGGCTCCTTTAACTGTTCCTGGAGATGAACATCACTTGGCTGGCACAATGCAGCTCATCTGATGCAAGCAGCAGAGCAGACAGAGAACATCCGAAAAGCGCCTCCTTCTCTGCATTGATTTTTAAGGTTGTGCAGACAATCAGCTTAGGTGTGGACAGCCACATTGCAGTTCTCTATGGTCAGGACAGAAGAATCTGCTTTTTAGTTCCATTCCAGTTCTAGACTAATAAAAGACTTTGCTACAGTAGGTTTGGGGAGGTTTCTGTATTCCTCCTGCTGGGTCTCTCACCTATGAGTGTCTTTCAAAACACCTCACCCCCATAAGCTCGGTTTTATAGCTTCATTTAACAGTCACCTAAAAACCTAAAGCAGAGAAAGCTGGTCACATTTTCTTTCAAGGGAAGAGAAGGAAGAGGGGGAGCAACTGATACCATTATTGAAATAGTAGAGTTTTTTCACATCCTAAATTCTCCACAAGTTTAAAACACTGCATCTTGGTAAAGTTTGCCAAATACTTATGCTGATTTTGTAAGCAAAGTTTTAACTGTTTTCCCTATTTACATTTTTTATAAATGTGATAGTTGTGATAAAGAAATTTAAAAGAAATATAAGCTGGATTAACACTGCGGTACAAATCAAAAGGTAGACTGGAGGAACAATGTACAATAAAAAAAAAAAAAAGAGAGAGAGAGAAATGGACACAGAAATTTCCCATTCAGCTCTCTTTTGGTCAATTCTGTTCACAGCTCAGTCCCTTCCCAACATTTCTTGCATCATCTGAAGTTCATAGCATTTTATAGATTTGCTGGCTCAGGCTCAGAAATACGGGTGGTTTAGCTATGTAAATCATCTCAAAAATGTACTCGCAGATCACCTTTTCTTTGTTATACCAGTGAAGCATCACAGGAAGATGAGGTTGACCTACAAACCTCCATTTCTCAGTATCCCAAACTAGCTTTACTTGATCAGAATAACTGAAAATGTCCAAGGAAGAAAAGCTTAATTTGCTATAAGAAGGAATTAACTGTGTATAAACAGAAACTAGGTTTTGGCAAGCTCTCCTCTTTCCTAATCCCTCAGTATTTCCCCAATTACTACACAACACAATCACTCTACATAAGTTATTTGTATTAACGTTACAAGAGGCCATCTGTCTACAAATACCCAATCAAATAATAGAAACCTCAAACCAACACAAGAACACTCAAATTCAGCTACTGACTGGTCTAGAAGATTTTTTTGTGTAGCATAAATATTTTCTTTTTAGGCACTTCAATAAAATTCTTAGAGTTTTCCAAGCATTTATCATTTCAGGGTGGCAGAGAAATATAACAATTCTTTCTCCACCCATTTCAAGAATTTTTAATTTCAGTCACCAAAGATGATGTAACATGAGGCCTTTCCAATCTGCATCACCCTGTTATCACAGCCCAAAATACTACTGTGCATGCTGTGAATGTTACACACTTATAGAAATCATAACAGCACATTCTAATCCCCCAAACTGTGCCTCCCTTAGAGGCATCTCATCTGAAAGATCAGCATTCCTCTACAAAAGCATGGATGTAGCACACCCCTGGAGCATGGATGGGTCCCCCAAATCAGTTTAGATGGATTGGTTTTGGTAATCCAAACTAAAATACTTGGATTAGTTGCACAGTTTCTGTGGAGAACTATTTTAGATTTGTTTTTAGTTAAACACACCAATCTGCATAGAAGATGTGCATTTTGCTTTAAGAGCTTCAGTTTGAAATCAGTATCATTTGTCATATTCAATATTCTTGTTGAAGATGAGGGAGAAGAGGAAGAAAAATAGGAGACTGCACAGAACTAATCTGGCCAGCATTAGCAATTATAGCAACTTGTATCACACTGTGCCATTTTTTTCTGCTGTCCAAAGTTTCCATGGGGACAGAAGAGATTGAAAAGATTAACTATGAGTTGCAATAACATCTCTGAGCAAGGAACACAACAAAGTGCTTGCAAGTGTGGCAAGAGGGTGTTTCCCTTTCTTGCTCAGCAGTCTAAGAAATTATAGTGATGCAGCAGTGTGTAGCTGTTTTTCAGGTACCCCTCAGCTTCCATATTTCACCACTGCTCATCCAGATGTCTGAGAAAGGGAAATACCCGCACATCCTATGAAAGAAATACCATGGTAGTCACAGTGCCTCTGAGGAGAGGATGTTGCAGCACTACGTGCAGGAAAGCTACAGCTGTGCAGTCCCCACCTTGCCACATGCAGCGAGAGCTCCCAGCCTGTTAATGGAGCAGTTGCTTGTGTCCGGCCCTGATCCTGGGAGATGAAATTTCAGAAATGTTGAGGGCACATATGATCAGACTGTTACACTGACCTACACTGATGCTTAAGAACTAAATTTGCCTTAGTAGCCATAATGACTCTAATGTGTAACTGTAGGTTTAAAATTAAATGTCAAAATATATTAAAAGCAGCCGATCACAATGACAACAAATACAAATATCATGGAGAAAAACCAAGATATTTCTGGAAATAGACTAGATTGGATCTTGAATGATTATCTCAGCTTGAATAGATATATAGTTTAAGTAAAACCCTATCATTCTTATAAAATCTTGCCTTTGAAATATGTCCTGGGATTTCTGTTTCTTAAGAGCATTATATATAACAGAGGAGTATCTTTCCATAACTGCCTTATGCAGTAGAGTTATGATATACTGAGAACAATGACCACAGTAACTAAAAGGACATATGCAGCAG